TCCCCACTTTCGAACGTGAACACTTGGTCATCTGCTTGTAGCAACTCTACCAGCAATCCTTCAACTTCATTCGTCTGCCCCACTTGGTCGACCTGAGGGTCTACCCGATCGACCTGAGGTCTTCTTGATCGACCTTCGGCTGGAATACCATAGCCCTTGATAGAATAAGTATCTTTGATCGCTGAGTATTCTAGATGGAGTACTTTACTGTGGTACCTCCATTAATGGCCCTTCATCCTTCTCCGTCAGGTCCTACTGAAAGTCGACCTGATCGGTGGTCGATTCATATACCAGATTTAATCACTCGGCATATCTTCGAGACCCTACCGACACAAAACCCTGCGCCCTTGGTACTTGGTCCTTCGTCAGCCACATGCCTATCTTGGTGTCCTCGTGTAATATCAGGGGTTGGGCACTGACATTAGTTACCTTCAGGAACTTCCGACTTCCTACCCCTTGGCCCACAGTCGTGATACATCGTTGTCATCTTGTCACCCACAACTTCCATTGGTGCGAGGTCGACCTTATCAGAGGCACTTCCTCGTACCTTCCGGCCAATATCTTCACGTATCGACCACGCTTTACATCTGATACCCGGTCATCGTACAGGGTCCTCCGTCCCGCTAACTGGACTTGAACCTCATCGAGCAGACATAGTGTCCCATCCGCCAGAGCCAGTCGAATACCGGCTGGGACCATGAAGTCCATGCCTAAAATTGCATCCTTACCTATCATTGGGCCCACCCACACCTTAAAAATGTATATTAATTTCCCGTACAGAGTGACCTTAATGCGGTTGGGTCCTTCCGTGGTATGCACGGATTCCCCGATACCAACACATTCTTGGCGCTCGCTTTCATCAATCTTGCAGCCTACCTTACGAGCAAAGGCGATATCCAAAATAGATATCTCGGCGCCAGTATCAAACAATAAGTTAGCTCAATCGTTGTTAATCTTCCCAGAAGCCTTGACCTGTTTAAAACATTTCGTAGGAGCATGGTATTTCCAATACCCCCTCGACTCGCCCGGCAGTAGGTCCAACTCCATCACTGCGCTTTCCCAAACAAAATCATTAGACGCACCGAAAGAAGCAACATGGACCCTAGGGTAACTTTCAAACTTCGATATAATTTCCATCGAGTTATCCTGAATGTCTTTCCTCCCTTAGGATGCTTTTCCACATATGCAAAGATGCAACAGTTATAACTCTCGGCTCATACCAGATTCAAACCTGGCGAGCGTCCTAATTTAGCATCTGCTCGACCTTCTCCGGCAACATCACAGCGTGCTTGGTCGGTTTGTACCACTGACGGATCAAGTTATAAAACTCTTCCATCGGACACTTCCCGACCTCGTGGGTTTTCCACAACCTCGACATACGAACAGGCAACCTTCTGATGGATGGCTCTTCTTCCCACAGCGATCGCAGGTCAGCCTCTTCCAACAACCCAAGTCTCCATGCTTCCTGGATCCACAATGGGCGCATCTTGCACTTGGGGTCGCCGACGCCATGGTCCTTGGTCGAGGATAGGGGCTGGTCGACCTCTCTGATGGGTCGGTCCCTCGGGGTCCTTGGTCCTAGGTCCTTCTCCGTCTCCGTAGCCATGTGGTAGACCTTCCGTAGTTCACCCTTACTATTCGAACTGTCTAAATCGGAGTCTTTGGAGATTGATCCCCCTGCGTTGCTCGAACTTCATGATAAGAGCGGCGGTTCAACTCTCCTGGCCGATTAGGAGGGTCGGTACGTTTTGGCGAAACTTGCTTGACCCGAACAACATCTCGCTCCATCGGGCCTTCGTCCGTTGACGTGCCCTCAGTACATCCTCCAGCTCTCCCACATCAGCCAAACGTAATACGGACAGCTAATCTGCCAAGTCGTGGTCTACCAAGGTCTCGATGTAGTGCTCGACATACTCCTTTTGAATCTTGGGCGGACCATCCTTGATCTTGATCTTCACACGAAGTTCAATGGCATTCAGACGGTACAGGTAGTCCAGCGGGGATTCATCCGATCTTTTCTTCGGGTGGTAATATTGGCCGGCCACTGACACCCCCAAACCACAGAACTTCATCTGAAATTCCTGTAACAAATCCTTCCAATTTCCACGAACAGAGCGACCTGAAAGATGTTCTGGGCAGGTCCAGTCAATAATCCTCCATAAACGAGACACTTCTCCACATCTGGCGCTGGTCCCTGAACGCGGTCTTCGCAGTGGCCACCCAGCTGCGTGCTCGGTACTCATCTTGGTATTTTCCATGAAACTCCTTGAGATCCGAGGTCGCTGAGAGCTTGATACGAGGGACCATGTTGGGCACCAGTCCCAAGGTGGAATAGGCATTCTTGCCAGAGGTTCATCGAGGTCCATGTATTCTGGGTCGTATTCGCACGAACCGACCGATTCCATCTCCACGTCGGTCAACCCTTGGTCTCTTACAACTTGCATACCTGCACTTGGGCCCAGCTGGGCCGTTGACCTCTGCGTCCTCTGTCGTCTCTGGCCGCACTTCCATCGATGTGTGTTTGCGGTACTTGTCGTTTCTGTAAGTACTTCTCCATCGCCACGTCGAAGTATGCCTGTAAATTACCCCCGGGCAACTTCGTCACGTGACGAGGTAAATTCAAACTGGTCTTGGCTCATTTCTGATTGGTTAAAAATCTGACCTATTAAAGCCTGACTTTCCCTTTGCTGCACACACGTGGCCTTTTCGTGATCTCGCTGCACGTCGTCCGCGCTCTCCTCTCGGGCCTGCAGCAGCGGCATGCCATTCGGTTCTAGTGGCAATTGGCTCGCGTGACTAGCGACGGGCGACCCTCGCGATGATTGCCTTGCAGGGAACTGAGGACCCTGAGTCAAGGTGGTTTGTGATCGACCTCGCATAGACCATGGTTCCTCGGTCGATCAATGCTCTTGATGGTGGACCTCGATGACTTTCAGGGTCATTTGGCTTCGTCAGACAGTGCTTTTGCGGCAGTGGCAGGAGGTGAGTCGAGTAGTACTGGGGTTGTTCCCACCAGGATACCCAGACGTTTGTGTAGAATCTCTAACGTGGTATTGATACTGTTGAACCTCAGGGAAAACAAGTCTTCAGGCTTGAACCTTCCTGCGACCATACAGCCTCGCGAAGAAGGGTCACGAGCGCGGTGATCGCGTCTGTCACCTCCCTCAGCTTGGGAAGGGTAGACACAGGTCCACTGAGCTGACCCAGCAGTCGGATCTCAAGGGATTTGGTGACGGGGTCACTCTCCAGGAACGCGTCAAGCTTGAGTCGATGGTAGACCACGGTCACGTCTGCATCCGACCAGGACAAGGGTTCTGAGGTCGAGAGGCCTACTGACTTGGTGTCACCTGGTGTCTTTTCATCCGGAGATTGGTCGGCTTGGACATGGCGAACGTATTTTTTGGTAATTTTTTTGTATGTTCTCAGTTTTGGGGGACAATAGTCGATCGATTTGCACCTTAGACTGGTTTTCCTCTAGGACGTGAAGATATCATGACCCAAGGTGTCCTCAACGAGGACATAGAGAGGGTAGTTCGGTTTCTTTTCAATAAGCTCAACCTTGACCACATTGACCGGACCCCTCCCAATGTCCGGTCGGTCCTTCGATCCTTTGCTGTATTCTTGTGAAGTCACTGGCGATCAGTCTTCCAGTGACGATTCGGTCTTTTCCTCAATCTTGCTTGAACATCCTCATCTTCTTGAGACTCGCGGTGATATCCCGCGACTTCCTAATATCCGGCCACGCGCACCCTTGTGGTGAAGTGATTTCTCAAAACTGCGTGATGAAACCCCAAGCCACTCACTGTGCCGGCCTACCGACTGTCGGAGGGGGGGTACCCCGATGCCGAGTATAGACCTTCTCTCACCTTGTGTACCCGTCGGCTGGCGGGTTGCGCATCTTCGGAGGACTTGGTTCAGTTGTGGTGTTAGCCTTGAGAGAGGTCGACCTTGGGGTCCCTCGAATGGATACTTTACTAGGTAGGCGGGAGGTGGCCACTCGGTCGACTAGGTCGAGGGTGGACTTATAACCAAATTCTTCAGGGGAGATTCTCAACCCTGGCCTTTCCCTTCCTTGATATCTCAAGGGTGTTAGCCGCCTGGCCTTCAATTGCTCCCGGACCACTAGAGCAGGGAGACCGCTTTCGATAGCGGGTTGAGCTGGGGGGTGCTACTCAGACGAACCCATAGGCCAAATGTATCCTGGGGTTCTATTCGCACTTGGGCATTACCAAACAACTGTCTTCGACGTGGGCCAAAATGTATCCCTTCCCGGAAAAGGTGGGCAGACTTAGTAGGTACCTTAGCACGACGGAGGTGTGCTATATAGATCGCAAATTGAGTAGTTTTAATATGGTCCTATATTTTAACTTCTTTACTCTAACCTTAACCCCAAGACCTGATTCTTGATTCTGCTTGTCGAGGGACCGAGGGGCCGGGTGACCGAGGGACCATGGTCCACCACGAAAGACCAGGGTCTACCAACGAGGGATCAGGGTCAACCTCGAAGAAAGTGGGTTCAACCTGAGGAACCGTGGTCCATCGGGCTAATCGCGGTTACCCCTCCGAATGGAGCACGCTTAAACCGTACACTCTCCTCATCCAACGGTTTTCCCCCGTCCCTTTTTAGCGCCACGTTCTCTGTCCCTTACCTAACAGTCTCTCCTCCGTAGTGGGTCCCCTTCTCTTTGACCCACCGGTCCTCTGGCCTGCCAATTATTGAAACGCTTCACCACATCGGTGTCCTACTAACCTCGGTGAGTGTCTCGCGTATGCCGAGAAAATCGCGTCCGGCTTTTGACGCCGTGACGAACTCGGACTCCATTGTACTCAGCGACACGCCGCTTTGCTTCTTAGACCACCAGATTACAGCCATGTCATTGAGGAGCACCACTCAGCCGCTCAAAGACTTCCGGTCCGACTTGTCGGCTGCATAGTCGGCGTCGCTGTAGCTGACGAGCGTTAACTGCGCGTCCGCTTGCGCCGTCGCTGTCATCCGGATTTTAAGTGCACATGTGTCGCTCAGATAGCGTACAACGCGCTTCGCGAGTTTTCAGTCTTCTGCGCGGTGCGTGTGTCTGCCGCGTGGCCTTGTGTACCGCAAAAGCGATGTCGGGTCTCGTGCACCTGGCCACCCAAAGCAGCGAGCCCACAAGCAATTGAAGCGTGCGGACGTTCGGCTGTCCTGGCGCGCTCGTGATTGACGGAACCTCGCTCTCCACGCTCACTGTGTCGTAACAGTCTGCTCCGATTGGCGCGCGCCGCATTTGTCTCGAGCATCCAGGTCGCTGTATAATGTCGAGGATCGCCTCCTCCTGATCAAGCAGGTTCTCGCGCTTGTTGCTGTGCGTCACACGCAAGCCTAAAAACTTTGTCACCAGACCGAAACTTGTGTCACCCCAGCTTGCCGTCAGCAGTGGTATTCGTCTAATAGACGCCCGACCCGCAGCAACGTGTTGCACAGCAAACACGTTGCTGCGGGTCGGGCGTCTCGACAGGGTCCCCACGTCGTTCGACTCGAGAACGGCAATCTCCTCGATCATATCAGCCTGTTACTCCTCACGGCTTCATGGCTTCGGCATAGTTTCGAGGATCGCGTTCAAAGACGTGAGCGACTATGTTGCCCGTGGTTGTTGATTTGATATGGCTTGACGCAGCCTTCTTCGTGGTTCTACGCGTCGCATGCGGCTGGAGAGTCCACTAATTCTTTTGCTTCGACTTGCTGGTATGCTGTCTCCTCGGCTGCTCTAGCGCACCCTCATCAGCATCTGCTCGATCATCATCATCGAGCTCGAGTTGCAGCTGCCGATTTTGTGCTTCATTCAGTGTCTCGATGTTCTGCACGTGCTGAGTGGTGATAAACTTGTTGTCTTTCTGGAAATACACTCGAAACCCCATCGTCTCGTTGCTGCATCCTAGGATCGAGTCGACCTGCGCACGATGCGCGAAGTTGGTCGTTACCGGGTCACGGTACACAGTGAAGTAAGACCCAAAGACGACGATGTTTCTCGATTCCGGCGCCTGTCCCGTCACAACCTCGAGTAGCGAGCGATGCGCGCTTCGAGTTCGAGTTGGTGGGACTTCTGTTGAGGATGTAGGTCGAATACTTTGCTACATCACCCCAAAACGTGAGTGGCAGCCCAGACGCAACTCATCGCTCTGGTCATGTTGAGTATCGTTCGTTGCATCCGTTTGCTTTGCCGTTGGAGGCTTGATTCTTCGCCTGGCTCAGGTGCCTCACGACGTCTGTGGTCTTGCAGAAGAGGTCTACGGTCTGATACTCCCCGCATTTGTCAGTCCTGAGGTCGGTGATACGACACTCAAACTGCCGTTCAAAGAACTCCAAAAAGTGTTCAAATTTTTTCGCAGCGGCGTCTTTCGTACGCGCCAGAAAGACGCGACCATAATTGCTCATGTAATCAATAAAATTGATCAGGTACCTATTTTACAGTCTATCTATCATCAGGAGTCAGAATCCCCTTGAGGTCAGAAAAATTAACACCTACGATACGATCGATTGGAGAGTTTCGACCCAACTCCTTCTGACTCTGCTTGCTCCTGGTTGGTTTGCTCTGCGCGCGGGTGATACACCTCATGCGCTTATGGTCCGTGAGCTCAATTACCGACGACGGGTTTATGGCGATCTTCTCGGTCGTGTCGAAAGATATATGTCCCAAGCGCTAGTGGACGTGAAGCAGTGAGCCTTGATGCATCACTAGTGACGTGTCGGCCGCAAGCTCCTCATGAAGTGCAGCCATGATCACGTCGACTAGCTCTTTCGTTTTTGCAAGCATGCCGACTGTTCTGACGACGAGGACGCTGTTCCGGATCACCACGTCAAACACAGCGAGTGCGTCAATGCGACGCGCCACGACGCATTTCCCGTTCAACTGCGAGATCGCGTATCTTCTCGCATCGATCTTCCCGTAGCTCACGATGTTGCGCACGAGGGTCGACGCCCCAAAGTAAACGTTCGTGAACAGTACAGTGCTCTTCTTGCCGTCAGAGATGACAAAGAGCCGCACGTCACCGACCTAAGCTCGAGCCGAGGCCTTGGCATAGCTCACTCCCATCAAAATTTTGAATAGCGAGCTTGCATTGGCGCGCGTCCGGCGTGCGCATTGGCATTTATTGCATCGGCGTTGGTTGCACTGGCGGCGCTGGCACGTGCTCATACTCATGTGCCGGCGACGGAGCATCGAGTGGTACTTGATTCCAAGCTTGCTGGTGTCTGCCGTTTCGTTGTGGCTCGAACGGTTTGAAAAGCGAGCTCTCTGGTTGCGCCACGCGCACTCGTCCGCGTGCTGGTCGCGACGCGTCGTATCCAAGTGCGTTCCTATGCATTGAAGCCGCTCCTATGCCGCGGCCGAGCTCCGATGCGTAAACCCCCCCCCTCGATTGCTCCTCGCAGCCGCTCTTCCTCGTCAATTTGCATCTGCAACGTCTTGGGCTCCTGCATGCAATCCGCGAGAGATCGTGAGGACCCTATCATCTGTGCCCGCACCTCTTTCGTGAACTTGGGCGTCGGCGATGACACTTAGATCTTTCTTGCACGTCCCTTTCGCGGCCGGGTGCTGCCGAAGCAGGGATCGAGTCGTCAACCGTTGGCGGAGCCGGATTTTGGATCATAAACTTATTGTTATAACACTGCACCAAAATGATCATGACCACTTTGGTCAGTGCTGTGTCTATTTTTTTATTCTAAGACTCAGCCTCAATTGACACCAGGGCACTTCTTTTTGATTGGCCTAGTAAACTTTCAGCGAGACATCGCATTTTGCGCCCGGCGGGAATTAAAATCGCGTCAGTTGGGCTCAAAATCTGTTGTGTCCCTGCAACTTGCGCCGTAGATGGTATAATGGAAGCTGAAATTGTTGTAGACGACTTAGCTTGCAACACTCACATCCGGACGGTACCTAAAAGTCTCTTGTCTATCTTGCTATTAGTCGCCCCTCCCTCACAGTCGTGGCTGATCGGTGCGTCGCTTCATCTTCTCTTCATCAAGTATCGAGACGTTGACACTCAGTGGCTCTCTGTGCATCGTCTCTTCTCAGGCGACACCGTCGAACTTTAACACTGTCATTACCAGGAGAGTAAGTACGTCGAAGCTCTTGGTGCTTATGATAGAATTGACTGGACGTCTGGGCAGGACAAAGGAGTCACATAGCAAGTTTATTAAACAAAAGTCTCGCATGATGCTACGTAATTCGCCACCGCGGTCTACTCTGGGGACGCAAAGCTTATTAATTAGGCATTTGGTCATGCAATTGTGAGATGCCTATCAGTTCTTTTGTAGACAAGTTACTATATTCACTTGGTGTAGAGGAAATAAAAGCTCTACAAACTTGACGTCGTTAGGATTCTCAGCCCTCACAAGTCTAGCTTCACAATCCTATGCCTTCTTGACTATATAACCAGCGTCTTACGAGACCGCGCTTCGTAAGCGATTTCTTACTGCTTAGGAGATTACGATACAATCGTATTAGAAACGACTCACGTGTGGCGCCGAGACGACTTCTAAATATCATGAGAGTGCCACAAGCAGAAGTGATCCATCTCGCCAAGATGCCCACCCATCAAGACGAACGAGCTTGTAAGCTCAAAGTCCTACGACATACGCTTAACTTAAGAGAAAAAGAATAAATTTCGGCTAGAACGTCACTTACGCTTAAGTGTGCCAAACATATAGCAAATCGTCAGTAATTATCTACCATTAATTTGAGGACTTGTGGCTTTCTTGCTTCTAAAGCTGTTGCACCTGATCTAACGCTGATTGCTTACAATAGGATCAGAGGCGAAGATCAACTGTTGACCTTGCTTCTCAGCATCTTGTGTTGGGAGAGTCAGACTACTGCTGTTGCAGTTTACGATTGGTCCGATCAAAATCTTCAACAACGTCAAAGCAATTTTAATGGAAATGTATCTCGAGCTCCTACAAGTCACATATAAAGTAGCAAATACCATGAGTGAAAGAGACAAAGGCACAGCAGACAAGCACCGTGTACTTGCACTGCTTCACCCAGTCGCCAACCACCTTCGGCACCGCGCGAAAACCCTGCGGTGCCTTCGCCAACCTTCAATCCACCGAGAAGGTACATAGATACCTTGCGAGGCTGGACTTTGTATGACTGCAGTGGTATTCAGCAATCATGTGGGACGATGTCATGACCGACATGTGGCGACGGTGGAGAGGAACACGCAGGAACCCGTCACGGCTAACCCAGCCGTGACTCAAAACTCGCTTGATGAATCATGGACTGCGTTTGTGTGACGCTGGAACTTGGAACCACATTTCGGCGAATTATTACCACGTCGGGAGGAACAGCTCCGGAGGTATGGGATTGCCGACTTGCGTGAGAAGGTGTGTACATTGTCTTGAAACGCTGGACGACCGTATTTTTTCGTGCGAAGGTGCGAAGGATGTCGATTTTGTCGTGGTGAGCAAGCTCCAACCCGCGACGAGTGGGAGTCAATTCTTGCGCAATTATAATGACGGAAAAATAGCGCCCGTAGACAAGGCGCTATGAACGTGCTCTCGCGAATTATGAGCACGTTCATCTGCTCGGTCGTGTACGTACTCGATCGACACGTGATTCACGTTCGCGCTCGCGGTCTGCAAGCCCTCGAACGCGAGAGCCACCACGTTTGCCTCGGCGTCGTACGCCTTCACCACGTCTGGAACGTCGGCGAGAAGAATGGAGCGAGGTTCCCACAAATCGCTCGTGGAAGGGAGACCAAACCAGCGGACGCAATATTGACGACCGTCCGAGATCGCCGTGGGACGGTCATGACTGGAGGCGCGGTGATTCAAGGTCGATGGGTCGCGGTGCTCGCGAATCTTATAGACAATTCAGCGCGGATTCCCAGCGCTATCAATCAGCGTGGAGGACTATCGCGGTAAAGGCGTGCATGAGGTGACTGTGAGTCTGGCGGGGTCTGAAATGACCGAGTCTCTCGCGAAGGAGCTTTGCGAGTATCAACAGCGCGTTGGATTTGTTGGATATGACGTGGAGCAGGCGAGGGAACTGGCTGGGCTTGCTGACTCGCGAGTGGAGCAGATGTCTTCGCTGTTGTCGGATTGGAGTCTTGCTTGGAACGTTTGGATAAGTCAAACGCGACTCTTCGAAAGGACAACGCGGTGTTGCGAGGGGACCGTCAACCGGATTCCCCAAGGAAGCCGAAGTACCGCGGGCCACGTTATGCTTCCGCAGTGAAACCTCCTGGTCAGTCGGGAGGAGGACCGGCCAGTAGCGTTTGAGTCGCCCGACGTAAACGTCGTGTGAACGCATTGCAGTAGGGATATCAAGTGTGTAGGCATTTATTCCTTAACCTTAACGATCTTGAACGGTCCAATATAGTGCGGTGACAGTTTTTTTGCACCGAGGTTTGTCACAGATGCCTCTTGAATTCCTGTGGCGGATAACAACACGGAGTCACCCACAAAGAACTTCTTTAATTTTTTGCGTCCGCGTTGATCCGCGGATACCTGCTGCTTGTCAACCGCGCTCGCGAGCGCATAACGAACAAATTGTGCAACTGAGTGTCGTTGTTCCACAAATGCGTCAAAAGCCGCCGAGTCAGTGAGACGAGCACTCGGCGGCGAAGCACTATAACTCGAGGGATCGATCGACGGACTGTCGGACGACGAAGGTAATGGAAACTCACGACGCGTAGGAGTAATGAAAGCTTGGCTAGCACATTCTGTAGCGTCATGTACCGACAGCGGAGTCAGCTTACGCTGGCAAGCAGCGCGAGTCATTGCCACATTGAGCAACGCTGGGGAAGGCGAGGCGTCATCGTGTGTATCCGCAGCGCTCGATGCTGCGGACTTCGTCAACTCCAGAACTCCTGGGGTTTCTCCCCCAACAAGAGTAGAATCATCCTCCAAACCGAGAAGGACAGGCACGCGTGGATGACGCGCTCTATTGACGAAGAAGGGGGTCAATTCCGTTGAAGCGTGAACGGCAGAATTTAATGCAAACTCTGTCATGGGAAAGAAGCACTCCATGACTCTTATGACGTGGCTAACTTTGCAGTAAATCTTCAAATACGCGGTTCACACGTTCAGTCGGATTTGGGGTGCGCCGCAGTAGACTTTAATTATCTGGTACCCAGTAACTCGAATTGCCGCGACCAAAAGGCGGCTGTGAACCGGGGATCACGATCCAAAACGATTGTAGCGGACGTTCCGTGGTGCCGGAACACCATGCCCAAGAAGACCGTCTCCGTATCTGCGGCAGTTATTGATTCGGCGACCGGAGCCAGATGCACCATCTTGCTGAACCGGTTAACGACGACGAAGATATCAGTGCGCCCCTGCGCGTCTTCTGGAAGTCCAAATATAAAGTCCATGCTAACTGATCGCCACGACTCGGTGGCGATGGGTAGTGGAGTCAGCGGACCTTGAGAAGAGGAGATGGTTTCACGCGTTAGCATGTCTCCCTCGCAGGAACGAACCCATTTGCGAACCCACTCATATATATGGGGCCAGTAAAAATCACGTGACAGCGCGAGGTACGTCTTCTCTTGTTCTAGATGACTGCTCGTTGCGCTGTCATGATACTCGTGGAGTATGCGTGCACGTAAATCATTATCGAGTGGAACGAAGATGCGAGGAGGATCATATCGATCGATCTGGTACCTTAGCAGGTCGCCAACAATTGTGTAACGAGAAGCCTGGGCGCGTGTCGGCGCTGTCAGTTTGCACAGCACCTCATCCGATGGGTCTTTACAGTGCGAAAGGAACTTATCGCCATGGTACGCCGTCGCGATGTCAGCACGGAGAGGATTGACCGCGCTCACAGCGGTCGTGTTTACTCCAAGAGCCACATATGTTGCATATTCCTCGTCTTCGTCCTCGATGGAGGGGCGAGATGGACCGTCACCGCAAGGATCGTAGTCAGGACGACGCGACAACGCATTGGCGATTATTTGTCGAACCAGGCTTGTAGTAGACGACAAAGTTGTATTCGGAGAAGAGCGATAACCAGCGCGCCATGCGCTGGCTGAGGTGCGAACTTTTTGTGGCTGTCCGCAACGATGCGTGATCCATGTAGAGTGCGAACGTTTCTTTACCAAGCAGATATACGCGAAACTTCACTAGAGCATAACGCATTGCTAGCAACTCTTTGTCATGAACAGGATAATTACTCTCGTCAGGCTTCAACTGCCGAGACTGATAACTCACGACACGTTCGTGGCCTTCGTCATCATGCTGTATTATAGCACAACCAATCGCGAAGTTGCTCGCATCACAAACGACATGAAAAGGCTTGGAATGATCTGCCAAGGCGAGAACTGGAGCTGATGACAGTTTCGCTTTAAAAGCATCAAAAGCGCTTTGATGCTCCTGACGCCACGCCTACGTGGCGTCCTTCTTCAACAACTGGGATAGCGGGTGAATAACTGCAGCGAAGTCTTTCGCGTAATGATGCAGATAATTGGCAAGACCAAGCCATTGACGCAATTACTTCGATTTCGTTGTCTCCGGCCAGGCGCAGATCGACGCGACCTTCTCGTGGTCAGCGCGAACACCTTTAGCGCTGACGTAGGAACCTAGCACAGGGATCTTTGGAGCGCAGAAGATACCCTTCTTCAGGTTCGCGTACAGTTTATTTGCACGCATAGCTTCGAACACTTTACGAAGGTGACCCAAATAAACGTCAAGGTCCGTCGCGCCTTCAGCGGCGTGGCTGTGTACGAAGATATCGTTGAAATCGCTAGGCGCGAAGTCTCGTAAAGGCCGCAGAACGTGCGAGACCATACTATTGAAGGTAGCAGGGGCGTTCTTAAGCCTCTGCGGCATCACGATCCATTCTCAGAGCATTCCACTGGGTGTACTTACCGCTGTTAGGGGAAATGTCTTTTGAAAGCATGAGGAATTGATAGAAACCGTCCGTCAGATCCAGAGTAGAGAATATCGTGCTGCCCGACATGGTGTCCAAAACCATGTTCTGCCGCGGATCGAGGTCTGTGCAGGAATCGTAGCTTCTTTCAGCTTGTTAAAGGCGTGAATGACGCGCCACCATCAGGTCGCTTGCTTAATACAGAAGGTGGGACTCGAGTGTGGAGAGACACTTTTGCGGACGTGACCGGCCTGTCTTCGGCCTTCAAAGAAGGTTTCAATCGCATCAAATTGATCACGGGGAAGCGGCCACTGCCGCGTAACACAATATTTAGAACCGGGCACGAGATCGATCTTGTGCCGTACACCACGGTCAGCAAGCAGGACTACTGGAACCTTATCCAGAAAAACATCAGCAAACTCTCGTGCCACTTTAGAAACCGGAGTATTCGAGAACGCGAGCTCATCCCATGACTGCGCCGCAAAGTGCTCTTCATGTGATGACTTTGGCTCCACCCCCTTCAGGACGCTCGTGGTTGAAGAGCGTCGTCTTTTCGATAGCAACACATAATTGTTGGGTCTCCCCCCCTCTTTAGATCACGCAGCATCTCATCCCAAGACACTTCCGGGGGCTGCGTGATGCCAGGCGCGTTGCAAGGTGGACTTGCGACTTGGAGCGAATGGCTTCTGGGACCTGTACCAGTCAAGGTCGCCACGCTAATCGTTTTGAATGCTGAAGCAGGCGTGGCAGATCGCGCTTGCTGTGGCATACTTAAACGCGCGCGTCGCTCTCGTCGGCGCTGAGACGCTGACCGCTGGGGTGTCGCGTCAGGCTTGGATTGTGGGAGCCCCTGCTCGACCTGAGTCTTAATCTCGGACACCGAGCGACACTGCGCTGGTGTTTCATCGGGATGAACGGAGGCCACCGGTCCGGGGCGCGTTGGAGCCACTGCTCGCTCATAACGCACCGAATTCCACTGCGTCGGTGCGGTTTCTTGACTCAGGAACCACTGTTCAACTGAGGGGGCGCAAGTCGCGTGGTTGCACACTGGGCACGAAAGGCCATCGCTTTCTTCGCTGGGGTTGTTATGTCGAGGAGTCTGGCTCCACGAAGGTGACGTGCGGCCATGCTTCCGCCAACCTGGAGAGGTGGGAAAGAATCGCAGTGATATTGATGTCGCGTGGCTGATCCGTGCGATACAGCTAATCGATGTCCGGACGATGCCGTGCAAGCCACGGCATCCCAAAAATACAGTTGAATGATCCACTAGCGTCAATTACCAGGAATTCATTACTGCTCACAAAGCCGCCAAATTGATACGTCACAACTACGGAACGCTGTCGCAGCGTGCGTGGCTTGCCATCAGCATACTGACGGTCATCTTTCCGATGCTCGCGGACACACAGCCGCGAGGTAAGAATCTTCAAGCTTTCGGCGCGAATAAAGTTATTCGTCGCGCCTGAATCCAGTAAAGCACGAAGAGGTCGACTGGCGCCGTCAACGCACATACACTGAGTACAATCAGTCGCTTGTCATCGCTGGATGTTGTGGCATTAAGCTGCGCATGGAGCGCAGTAGGGTTAGAAGATGGAGTCACCACTGGAGGTACGTTTCTTCCGATTTGCCCAGTTGAGTGCCCCGTGCCTACTGGTCGCCGCCGTTTTTTGACTGCGCAGACAAATCGACAGGTTTTTTGGATTCGGCAGCGGCGAGAACGGGAGATGGCGCGCGGCACACCGCCGCGCGATGACCCGGTTTGCGACAACAGACACACACCAAGGGACGTTCCGGAGGCATTGAGCTCGAGCCTTCGATGCTTCTACTGCGTCAATTTCCATTGGCTCAGGAGCCGATGCACGGACGACTGTCATCAAGGTCGTGCGTACGAAGAAGCTGTGACATAGCCTTCGCGAAGCGCGAGAGCAAAAGCCTTTTCAAGGGAAGGAGGTTCGGCATGCGTAAGGCAGTATCTCTTTATGCCTTCGCGCATGCCTGAGACGAAGACGTGGACTTGAGACGCCATATCAACCGGCTTTGTGACGATGCACGAAGCCAGATGCTGTGTTCGTTGAACGTAGTCGCGCATGGAAAGCTTGTCTTGTTTAAGGTCAAAAATTTCGGTACGTAGGCGCGACTCGTCTTGTGGTGCCTAAACGCCAGACGCAGGTCACTCTGGAGCGCGTCCAGAGTGAGGAAGGCGTACTGGTCGACTACCAGCTTTCCCAAAGCCCACTCTTTCGCCTTACCAGTCAGGCGTGAGAGTTAGAAGTTAACCTTCGATGACATCGCCTCGATAAGTCTCGAGGCGATAGCGGTATCGATCTCTCTATACCAACGATTAAGTAGGAGACAATCTGTACCCGCAGAGGGATGTCTCCATTTGACTGCTTTAATTCTTGGAAAACTCGAGGGAGTTTGCACTCTCCGCGGCGCGTCGGCGAGCTCGCGTACCATGAACCCTTGGGCAGTATCACGTTGTTGGCTTGGTGAATCTGCGTTCAGCAGCGTCGTAACAACAACTTGGCCAGACACCGCTGCGAGGCGGTGAATGGTTCTCCACAAGCGTGAGGTGGGGGAACGAACCGTGTTCCAGTGTCTCCATGACAGGTTCGAGGGGCATGTCGTCATCCATGGCATTGGAAGGACTACAAAGTGCTACCAGGTTTAACGAGGCGAGAGCTCCGTTACGTAGCCTACACTAAAGGTCTTACGAGGAAGCGTAAGAAGCACGCAATTTACTTGCGTGCTTAGGACCAAATTAAACTCTATTTATTATTAAGGTTAGATTTAAAATTCTAGACCCTCTGTGAGCCACCCAAATACGTGTCATATATTAATTAAGTGAAATGGGGCTAAACCTCGCTTTCAACCAATCAAATAATGACACTAAAAGATACGCTATTCGTATCTTTTCCTTTTTGTAATACGGGGACTACCGTTACACGCAAAAATTGGTCCGCAGACCAAGCCTTACATAGATGGAAATCGACAAGCTCGACGGCAATAAATGTAATTACCCCATGCTGTAGTTCCGACAGTTGAGACGGCTGTGTTATAGCCGACATCACCTATGAACCGTATTGTGTTGGCTTGGCCACGGGTAAGCTGGGTGGCTTCGACAAAAAATGGCGGTGTCACTCACTGCAAGATGCATTTCCATCATGGTCAGATCCGAAAGTTCAGACACGGCAGTGTGCCCCACCAAATCTAGTTTGTCGAACTTGGTCGCGATTCTTGTCGTATCGCCAAAGAAAGCGTGAGCTTGCGGCACATGTGCAAAGTTGAGAATTTTTATTGCCTCCATGGTCATAGACCCTTTACCTCCCTCTATCTAATGCAAAAATCTTGCGCTTATCCTCGATACGCTATTGCTGTCATCCAGCAAAGTTTTGCGTAGCAAATTGAGTATCCAACGCATTTGCTTTAACTGCAACTTTGCCACCATAATTGCAATTTTATCGACACGCAAGTACGTACAATCAAGACAGGTTGCATGAATAAATGAATGCCTTCATTCATCCTTAACCATAAGTTAGCATTCACGTTGTCTTTGTCAATTTATGATACAAATTCCGTCATTGTGATGAGAATAGCTGCCCAAGAGTTGCAAATAAATGCGACAAGACATGCCCCCCACACACACTAGGTATACAAAACGTAAGATCAAATTGAATACTAGCAATTAGTCTTCCACTACTGCCTCATCGCGCGGACGTTTTTTCTGCTTCCATAATTGAGCGGCCTGCAGTAGCTTGAGATGCGATTGAGCCTGTTTATCATCTGGAAAAATGTAGTCCGTGTACTCTTCGAGACCTAATTCCGTCTGTACAAAAGGAAGGAAAATACAAAACACAACGTAAGTAGATATAGACAACCCAACGCACACAATAAATCCACACATACTCCATCCTGTGCGTACACCATGCGCTGCTTCGTGACCTTCCGCGGCAGCATGTTGCTGACCTTTTGGATCATTTTCGTATCCCCGCTCTTCTTCTCCATCTCTAGCCACGTCTCCATGCACAAGACGCGGTCTCCCTTAAGTTCATCACCACCTTGCTCTTTCATATGCCGCAATGCACGCTCAAATACATCGCGTGCTGCCTCTAAATTCTCGCCTTGAGCGTCCTTATTGTCAGGCGACGATGCCTCAAACTGGGCAAAACTAATCCAAACCTTAACGTGCTTCGTACGCTCCAGCAACCGCTCATACAGTGCACGCGTATTATCCCGCTCACCGTTTTCAATCTCAAAATCAACGTAGTGTTTCCAGATCATCTCGGGCATGTCCAGGACCGGCTGCTTGATAGCCAATTCGTATATCGCACGTGCACGCTCGACTTCGCCAACCTGCCTCTCGAGCATGGCGTATTTCTGCCACGTTTCACAATTTTGCGGGTCAAACTCTAGGAAACGCATGTAAATCTTGCGACAACGGTCAATTTCACCCATCATGAGCTCCAGGTCAATATAGCTAACAAAAAGTTTCTTCTTCGGGCAGCGACCCAAGGCTTCTCCAAGCGTCATACGCGCTTCTTGTACGTCACGCTGGCGAATGAGGAACTTGGCGTAAAGTATCCAAATCTTGGCAAATGTAAACTTTTCATGTGGAATCAGCTTCAGACACGTCTGATACACCTGCTTGCAGCGCTCGGAAAAGCTGCCGCTGTCGTCGATGTCTCCCGCCAGCAACTCTTCAAACAACGCGTACTTGATCCAGAGGTATATATACCGACGCCAGTATTTCTTTTCAGGAATAGGTGGCACATTTGCAATAGCACGCTCGTAAACTTCCCGCACAAAGCCAAACGACTGCAACCCTACTGCCTCATTCTCTTCCAGTTTAATGTACTCAAGCCACGAGTCGTAGTCCAGCGCGTTAGTAGCCACCTGTTGCTCGTACACAACGCGCCTCTTAGCAATTACAACCTCCTCAATCCTATTCTTATCGCCGTGTTGCTTTTCAAACGTAATAAACGCACTGTAAAGTGCCGGTGCCTCTTCCTTCGGCAGTGTGTCTAAAGCGTACATAAACACCGCTCTCGCTCGTTCCAACTCGCGACATCGCTCTTCAAATAGGGCAAAAGCTAAATAAATCTGCTCTGTCTTTTCGTCACTACGCAGCTCCTCTAATGCTCTTTCGTACACTCTTCGAGCCAATGCAAGCTGCTTTTGCGACCGTTCTTCCCACTTGGCATACTTAATATATGCCTTCTCTCCTGGATGACACATGACATAGCGTTCATACAATGCTCTTGCTCTTGGAATATTCTTTGCCCTTATTTCCAGCTTTATATACGAATACCAAGCCTGTTCATTCGGCTGCCACTCCATCCAGCGCTCAAAAACCCGTCGTGCACCATTTAAATTTCCCAACATTTCCTCCATAAAAGCATATTTGTACCAAAACTGTGCAATACGAGGTAATAACGTCACCGCTCGATCCCATACATTACGTGCGTGGTTGACAAACTTATGACGCATTTCCATCTCTGCGTATTTAAGCCAAACACTTGTGGATTTGTAATCAACATCCAATGCTCGTTCAAAGACGCTACGTGCACGTGTAAAATCTTCTTGACTTTCTTCCCATGTCGCATATTTCATCCACGTTCCCATGTGATGACGTTGACGACGTAACTCATCTTCAAATGCTTTGCGCTTACCCATACGGTACTCGACCAATTCAGCGGCATCAGCGATACGACGTCGTGGTGGACGAGCAAATTCTTCCTTTCGTTGATTCGCCTCGAGTAAAATTTGCTCAGCTGTGATCTGAATAGGCGCCGGCGCGCGATTCTTGACAACGCTCTTCTTCATCATGATGGAAGAATGTGGGTATGAGGGTATATAGGAGTGCGAACTTAAGGGAGGACACGAGGTTTTTTATTCATGACGAACTTTAGTGAATCGATAGTGGATCCTTCACAATTTTATGTATTGTACACAAAATGCTAACAAGCTTGGTTGTGCTGAAATGTTTGCGTCAACATGCTGTGATCGAGTCTCTGTAATCATGTGACACAGCTGTCATGCTTGTCTCAGCGTTTCCATAAATAGTATCCACAATACTTTGTATCACAAGACACCGCTAGATCATGAAAAACTGTATACTTACACGGGGTAACTAAATACACAATGTTATGCAAAGTATTACTATTTTACATCTGCACACAACAAATGTTTACTACTCTGCTTGCAAAAGAATGTCCTTGGGCTTGTAACTTTTTCAACAAATAAAATCGGAGACCCTGTCCAGTTGTCAATGGAGTCATACGTTGCACAATGGAGGAACGTTGCTTACTTTCACGTGGTTTCTATTATACCACATTCAACTTGTTTACAGATAGTAGTCAGGATGTGTCATACCTGTTGTATTTTTTACTTACACATAAAATGTCCATTGCATCAATTATCAAGGTGTAAGGTTCTGTAAAGCCTGTAAGCGTGTGTTCGTCTCAGTTTTTGCAACCACGTGAAACACGTAGTATACGTTATTACAGGTTATCGACCAAGAATCAATTCGTCACATCCAGTCCAGTGTCTATTCTGCAGCTACAGATGCAAGTCCTCGTGATGTTTGCGCTATTATCTTTATTGCAAGTAACTATTGATATTGTAAGTGGAAGTGACATTATACAGCAGCAACTTTGGGGTCTACCGTCCGGTCTTGCTTACTATGTACAAGTAACAATTGGATCTCCACTTTATTCTTCTACGACCTCACGTGACTCTAGTGCCAACTCATTTAATCTGTTACTAGACACGGGTTCAGCTAATACAGCGGTTGTTACGGCTGAATGCTGCTCACTTACAAATGAAAATCTTTATTCATGTGCCGACTCAAGTACATGTGTAGACCAAGGCAAGAGTGTCAATGTTACGTACGTTAGTAGCTCATGGAGTGGACAATTCGTACAGGATGTTTTCTCGGGACAGGGTCTTGGTATAGTTGAGAATATGCCATTTGCTGAAATTACAGCGGAAGATGGTTTCTTGTCATCAGGATATGATGGTATCATTGGATTGGCGTATGAAGCTATAGCATCGCCTATGACTAATACTCTGACACCGTATTTTGACCATGTGCAGACTACTAAGAGACTCAGTAATATGTTTAGTCTACAAATGTGCGGGGCGTTGCAGTCACTCACGTTGAGTAATGTGTCTGTAGCAGACAGATTATATCTGTATGCAGGAGAGTTTCTGTTGGGAGGAATGGAAGGACCGAACGGAGAGACTTACCATAAGGGAGGAATTGTTTACACGCCGTTGGTGCAGGAGGAATATTATAATGTTATTGTTACAAACATTGGAGTGAATGGAAAAAGTCTGGAACTTGATTGTAAGTCGATTAACTCTCCTCGAGCCATTATCGATTCGGGTTCCAGCAATTTGATGCTCCCTACGAGTGTATACAGCGCAGTGATTGCGGAACTAAAGTTACACGTGGAAAGAATGATGCCGAATGTCAGCGACGTTTTCTTTGACGACCAGTCAGCTTGCTGCTCCAGCGAATGCGATCCAACCAATGTCGACTCGATCATCTACTCACTACCAAGCTTGACGATCTCGATTGCGGTCGACATCGAGCAATCACAGCAGATGACCGTGACCATTCCGGCCGAGTACATTTGGCGGCCGCTTGTGGTATCCACCGGTCTTGGTGAGATGGTATGTCGTGTGTTTGGTATTTCTGAGGGCGATTTTACGCTGCTTGGCAACGTATTTATGGATGGTCTTTTGACGGTGCATGATCGAGAGAAGAAACGTATAGGTCTTGCAGTAGCAGATAATTGCCCAAACGGTGTCACATCGAGCAAAACTATCACTGTGGAGAAGCTGGGAGTTGAGGGCGTTTTTTGTGACTGTTTTGGCTCTTCGGATAGAAAAGGCAGCCTGCTTAGCAGCTACTGGCCATTCTCCAGCAAGCCTTGCTTCTTCTGGCAGTGGTGGATGTATGTGGTTATTATGGCTATAGTCGTCGTCTTTCTAATGGGGTTTGCGTACAGCTACCTCTTATGGAAGCGCCGCAAGGTAAAGCAACAGCTTGGAAATGTTCAAAGCCAACACCAGTTGAATGTTCATCGCAACATTTACTTGAATGACCACCACCACGACAACTTGCTCCTCGATCCAACGCAACAAAGCTCTATGTCTTTGGTGGAGACCTCCACACTTCCAGCTAGCACGGCTCTAAGCATGAACAGTGGTGTACCCGCTACTGGCGGATACAGATTAGTATTTTCGCCGTTGGCTCACAATAGCCCAAGAAACGCACCAGCAGCTTCTGCTGCTGTACCAGGTCGAAAGACGTAATAATTGTTGACAGGTGTGTTTAGGAATCTGTGCATTAGTAAACAAATAAGAGGAGTAAACGTTGCAGCTAAGCTTATTTTAGTTGTTGATTGAAAACTTCTGTGAACAATTGTCATGCCTTCATCACTCACTTTGAAGAATGCTGGTGCAAAAGTTCGGTTAAGAAATCGTCTTTGGTTGCGTATTTTGTACGAGCCAAAGAGGTGTCGTTGCTAAAGCATTGGTGTCGGTTTAAATCTCCTTGCTACTGCTATAGCAACCCGATACATAAAGCATACTTGTTGTCCGTGGTATAATTCGAAACGTCATGCAAGTTTTGCATTATCTCGCTGAGACACAAGAAATTACGTTTACTCGTGTACTAAGCATGCTTATGTATGACAGACGCAGCATGTGTAGAGCCAATGTGTGCTGCTGTGTGAATAAAAAGATGACACACTTCCATTGACTTAAGGTTGCTAGCAAAGGTTTCACTTTGCTCAAGATCATATATATCCTTTCAATACTTCAATACCGCTCACATGAACAAAACCTCACTATCATTGTTCTTGACACCATCGAGCGACTGAATAAATTACACAATGTCTTGAGGCCATGAAGTTGAGCGTACAAAACGGAGTCAATTGTCTACACTACAAAGCGCGCATGCACGCGTTGCAAAAATGAACCGACTATCGCGGTACTTTGTACTGTAGGCATGTAAATTGGTAAACGAACTGCTTCATAACTAACATAGCTGCAAGGGGTTGATCGTAGAGCTTATTGAGTTGATAGCAAGTCGCAGTAGCACAATTTCTACCTATTCCATCCCAATTTGCACCTTGCAGAGTTTTACCGGGTGCTTGAGCTTGTTGTTGCCCATCCAAGATGTCCCGAAAGGAAGTTGTATGATACATACACATTATGTCTCTAGTACACAATGGTCAGATGGACATTTTACACGCTCGACGAACGACATGCTAGTACTTTCAAAGCACATTAAGTAGGTGTTACATTGTCGTTTCATTGCTTTCATGAGGCAACCAACATGCCCCAACGAAGTTGTCGCCCAAATGATGAACGTTCCAAACAGCTTTTGCTTAAATGGTCGGAGCATTTATACCCAACAAAGTTGTCGTTTTGACGAAGATTTGGTCAATGTAAGTTCAAATCTTCGTCGAAATGTGTGACAATCATGGCAGAAGCGTTAGTACGCGAAAAGCTCAAACTTACGAGACGAGATGAAAGCACTGCTAAAAAAACTCGATTGAATTAGCGATACTTAGGACTTACACCTCATGGAATCAACGATAGTTTGTATTGTGTTTTCTACTCGATCCGTGCCTGCATCATGTATGTGTCTGTACGGGCATTTAATGATATGATTGATCATACGTTAACACAAGAACGTCTTCATTATCTTTTTGTTAAAACCAAAGAACTTGATCTAAGGATCAATTTTGTAAAGATCAACGACCTCGAAGCCTGTGAAGATAAGCTCAATACTTTCATGAATGTTGAACGTTGTGCCATTGATCGTCAAGGTGCAGTCCGGCATGTGCGACTTCTTGGCTTCCTTAATAAGTGTGCTGCAAGCTTGACTCTTAGACATGGCTTTGACTTCTTCCAACGATGGCATACCCTGGAACGGGTATATCTTGTATCCTGACTCAGCGGCGCAAAGGTTTGACTGTTTTTCCAGAGTGAAAAATGCAAAGGTTAGCATCGTGGGAGTGCACTCCTTAGCAGCGACGAGGGACCCAAAGATGCTGGCAACTATGAGAATGCGTATAACAAATGTCATTATTGGGGACAAGACTTGGCGCTCGGTATGAAAAAATCTCGAATGCTTTGTTTGTAAAAATCGGTCTGTGCACAAGCATCCAAGAGTAAAGTGTTCAGTTGTTGTGCAGACGTATGAAACCATTCGAAGGAGAAACGAAATAACTTGTCAATGAGCTGCAAATGTTGTGGTGTCATACATCAGCAGGAGACAAGTATGTATATACCGTACGAGCAGTTTATGCTTTGCGTTTACTATGTCTTGTGTATGCTGTAAGTTGTGCATGCATGCAGCTAGATAGTTGATTAATATGCTTGAACAGTTAGAAAATGAGTGCTTCTTTCCTTTTACTTCCCTTGCCTTGGAAGACTCTGGATTGACATATACAAAATGAAGCACGTGTAATTTGACGCACACGACGTTTTGAACCGTAACGTACGTTAGTGAATGATGCTTCCACACTTGGAACTACACAAAAGCTACAACGCGATGCAAAAAATTAGTCGTAGCTGACAACTCTTTCGTCATGAGGACGTGTTCAATGGCATGTGAGAAGAAGCATGAGCGCTACAGTTAATGTTGCGGCATCTCTATAACATGTTCTGAAAGCCTAAATAGGATCCTGCGTTGATACTACATAACTGAATATGGAGCCAACGTGTCCACAGGACGTGTTAAAACCAAATTGTTGTCTCCTCGGCCCCTACGTGACTGAGCGCCAGTCGAGTCATCGTAATCCGACTTGAGCTCGAGATGCAATTGCGAGACAACGCAAAAGCAGCAGAAAAAACTTGAGAGGCAGTCGAGCAGTGGCGAGCCACGGATGCCCAAACTTTGTCGAGTTTGTGTGCGAAGACCCCAAACGCCAAACAGGAATGCTATCAAAAACACAGCTGAAATGGCTTTCCACATCATCGAGCCTATACTTTCACTCTCGTTTGATTCTAATGGCGTCGCACCGCTTTGTAAGTGTCCAACAGGTTCATTTGAGCCGCTTGCAGCCGCAAAACCGACAGACAACAAGAATCCCAATGCCAATCCACTGAAGTACAGTAGTGTCCGTTCATAGCATCCACCCAAGCTTTCTTTCACCGACGCAATAGTTGTGCATGGGCAGCATGTGATAATACAGCAGTATGTTGGGGCCACAGAGCAGCAGCAATCAAAGAAGCTTGCGTTCCACGCCGAGTTTTGTGGTCGTTGGCGAGTTCGAACGGAAGAAACTTCTCGCCTTACTGGATTCGCGTCAGGGACGACGGTAATCCTGGGAAGCGTCGGGACCACATTAGGAAGTCTCTCTTGCATTATTGTATGACCAGTTGTTGAGACAGCCACAGCAACAGACGCAGGCACGGACAGCGTGGAATGCGTGTAATAATGAAAATGCCAACCGATGGCAATTCAAGAATATGCCGTACGGATTGTGAAGATCAAGTGTTTGGCTTTGTTGCCAAACTTTGGCATGGATAGTAAGAACACGTTGTCACCACTTACACCTTCTACTAATGACAAACCCTTTCATTCCTCTAAAAAACTTAAATGCGTGCACCCGTGAATATGATGCATCAAGATTCTAATCGTTCTCTTCTATTGTCTCGAAAACGTGCAAGGTAGCTCCAAAAACACTCGTACGATCGCTAAAGGCATTCGTTTTGGAAGGATTTGTAGAGGGACTACAAATGATTCGAGTACTACTCGGTGCCTGTGACGTCACTTGTTTGATGATGCACGGATTCTATTCGGCACCCTTACCTTCGATCTCAAAACGCCCCCCCCCCCGCGCAACTCAAACCTGTACAGGATACAATAAAGGCGTGTGAAGTTCTGTGTGTGTGGAACAGCCCGATAAATGCCGTTCCACACAGAGAAAACATTCGGACGATTGTGGATGAGGGTTCCTCGTCATGAGTGAAATCAAACAATTGTCATGTTTGACATGGCGTTTCGGTTTTAACATGAGCATATTGGACTAGCGCTGCTGAAAAACCATTTTTCGATTCAAGCACCCTGAATCTGTTTGAGTTTCCCATGGTTTATCTTCCTTTGTTGCTGCTACGCATAACCAGAACACGCACGAAGGCCAGTATCTATCTATATGATAGGGTCGTGTAAAGCAGCAAACAGATAGTGGTGTTGTTACGCGGCGGGATCTCAATTATATTTATCATCCATGACATTGTGCTGCAAAGTCAGCTTAAATAACATCGTTCGAGTCAAAACTGTGGAATACTTTTTACATGACAACGCAACCTGATAGAGGTTTTTCAACCAGACCGGTACGCACAAGACTGTCTTCGCTAATATAAGCCGATGTGTGGCTCCGACCGTCAGAATCCCAGTCCAAAGCCACACGGTAAAAGCCATCGTGCGAGCGAAATTGCATCACGACACCCGAACCAAAAGGTGTCATTACTACATCACCACGGGATGCCTTGATAGTCCTTATGACACTAGGAGGGTACAGGTACGCACGAGCTTCTGAAGCAGTCAAACCAAGTCGTAAAACTACAACGTGAAATCCATCATGCTCACGAATTTGCTCCAACATTCCCGATCCATATATTGTGTCAACTGGCTGCCCCACTACGCCACGCACAGGTCGCTGGAGACTGCTTACACGGAAATAACCGTGCATGGAAGGTAGATCCACCACGTAAATGTCATCGACTGGTCGGTGCAACCGCACAGTACCCTCACCAAACTGTGTCATAACTAGTGATCCCTTGGGAAAAAGCGTCTTCTTGTCGGTTGTTTTACTTATGTCGCTAGCATTGCCAGAGAGCAAATAACTGAATGGACTCGCCAGTAACTCGAACGTGTTGCGTCTTGGACGCGTTGATATCGCTAATGGTTCCTTCGCTTTGTTTGCTTGGACGTAAGCAACGGCTCCCTTATAATCTGAATTCAGCAAAGTAGCCTTGAGGCACCCGTGGTACGGTTGACTCATGGCTGTGTTTGCAAGACCGAAAATGGTATCAATCTGACGCTTGACACCAGCCTCATCTGCATATGGAATCACTTCTTCAGCTTTACCTGCACTTGAAGTCGTAAAGCTGTAGCGGAACAACTGGAAAATGCCACCGCTTCCTGGTGGAGCAGGAACCATACTTTCCGTCAAAGCCTCCTTCGTTGTGACTGGCTCGTCTTTCAGGGTCGAAGCAACAGGACTGACAAAATCTTTGGTAAGATAGGCCATCACGTCACTGCCACCAGCAAAATCGGTTAATGCTACTGCGTAGACATCATCAGCTGTGCGGTAGCTGCAAATGACACCCTTGCCATATGTTGTGGTAACACGAGAGCCAATTGGAAGAGATCCTACCGCTGGTACAACTGCATTCTTGCCGCCCAAACCCAATCCGAGCATTGAAAAAAAGCTTCGAGGTGGTACAGGACAGAGTTGCAAGTGTCGCTCTTGCACAAACACACTCACATGGGAGGCTAAATCACCACTTCGAGTTTTACTCTCGCTACGAAACAATCGTAACTCGTAGACGCGATCCAATTCGCGAAAGTTGACAACCACGCCACGCCCGAATGGCGAATTCACAACACCTGCAACAGCAAACAACGGCTTCACGCCAGAAGCACCAGGCACAAACGTGATCAGCTTCTTCGTAATGAAACCAATACCAGAGCGCACCCCCGCAAACATTCGCGGTGACGTTGAGCCGCTCGTTGCATAGCTCTTCAAAAATGCATCATCCACAGGTCGCAGCGAATCTCCATTCAGGAATGCTGTCGCATGCAGCATGTTCTGGTCACCGGGAATAGATACCGTGTAAATTTCGTTTTCTGCACGGTAACTCAGAACACGGCCGATACCAAACAGGGTCTTTACCAGTGAATTTGGTGCAAAAATCCGGGCAGGTGGTGCTGCATAAAACTTAACGTAATGTAAAGAACTCTTTGCTAGAGGCGATGTATCCGCACTAACGTAAACAGTGAGACTGTCTTCAGTAAAAAAAGCTTGAGCTCGATTCCGGTTTCGTGTTAACGACCAACCAATCAAATCCACTCGATAAATGCCATCAGTACCTCGATACTTGCGAACAATGCCACGTCCAACTGGTGTGCGAACAAGTGAGTTGAGAGCAAATACTTGAGGCTTCATAACAAGAGGTGATGGTCCATATTTCTCAGATATCAGCGCATTAGCAAGTGTGAGATCACGATTCAGCAGTAGTCTTGCACGCTCGCGACTTTGAGGGGTGAGCCACGTATGAATGCCTTCGAATGACAGTCCAGCAGCATCAGCAATTTTCTTTAACCCATGAAGTCGAATTTTCTTCATACGAAAAGCCTCAACTGCTGCACCCACGTACGTATCGAAAAAAACGATGTTCACTTTTCGCCAACGCTCTAAGTCCTCTTTCGAGTGGTAATTAAACATTTTCTCCATGGGCTGCACGCGTTGAAAAAATGCGGCCTCTAGCGCACCAGAACCAAATTTGTCCACAATAAGCTCAGCGGCACGCAGGTCACCTTGGCCATTATCACCGACAAATACGTGCGTAAACTCCGGGTAAAGTTGGTAGAACTCGCTAAAGTTCTCAAACTTCTTTTGCGCCATTGGCTCCAAGTCACCTTGCCACATAAAAGCACGGCCAGATGTGAGATTACCTGCAAGCATCGTAGGCAGCGTGTGCATGCCCATCTTCTCGTGTAGCGCAGCAAATTTTGCGTATGACTTCTTCTCAGACACATCCTTGTACACGTGCGGTCGTGCGGAGAGAAACACAAGATTGCCAACACGATCATCGGTCCAGTCGTCTGGACCAACGGTGCCCATGTCTAGCTCACGATAAAATGGCAGCACTCCAGGATACAGCGTATGTCGCGGGAAGCGCGTGTCCAAGCCTGCTGGGTATCGTCCACCGGAAGAATAGAGCGTATCATCTACATCACTTAGCACCTTGCGCCACGCCTGCTGCTTGCGACTACGACCGCGCTTCGTTCCAAGACGCATGTGCGCAATTTGCACACTCGCCTCACGCTGAATGTGGCTCAAAATGTCAGCTCGAACCATCAGGTCACGAATATCATTAAATACTAGTTTGTGCATACTGTGAAAATCTCCTTTTGCATCTGTGTACGTCTTGAGATTGCTCAAGTCATCTCCCTGTGTTTTTAAAATGATATTGCGCACCCATTTTTCAGCCATCGGGTGTGCACTAATCTTCATCACCATCAAAGCATCTAGTAACAATGCTCGAGACATGACCGATAGATCCGCTAATCGCGTCGTGCATAGTAAATCAAGAATGAGTGTCCGACTTTGATCTTGACGCATTTTTGAATGATCCTTGACTTTGTAAAACAATAGCGCAAGTGGAATATGGTTCACGACATAATTAAGTTCATCCTTCCCTGCTCCTGCAAGAATCCGAAAGATTTTGTGTTCACGACGCTTGACTTCTGCATGATTAATCATATTGTTGATAGTACTGGGTAAATAATGACGATCAATGCGACTGACGCATTCTACCAGTAAGTTTGTCTTTTCCTCTGCTGTTGCCTTGTACTTGAATAATTTGTGTGAGAAATGTCTTGTTGCTTCCTTCAGTCGTGGTCGTCGACTAATTTCTTGTCGATGTAAGAATCGATCAAAGAAATGAACACTCATTGTAAATCCAAAGACAAGCACCAGTCCAAGTGTGGAATTCCATTGACCCACAGCTAGTGGGGAGTCTCGTATATATACAACAGCAGCACTAAAGAGAAATGCAGTGCCAGTCCAAAAACGATTTTCGAATTCTTGTGCATCATGCCAACGCCATTTGGATTCTGTTGATAAATACAAGACAATTACATAGATAATTCCAAGCCAAGAGGCACATAGTAATGGTGCATACGCAAAGAATGCCATAAGAAGGAGAGCAACTAGAATACCAAAGAAGAGAATAACAACAAGGATTAATGCACTAGTAGCTGAATCATTCTTCTTCTTCTTCTTCAATGTCGTCGTCTTGAGCTTTATCAATGTCGTCTTCTTCTTGTCTGTAGAATGAGACATTTCTTCTTCTTCTTCTTCTTCTTGTGCCTGTTGAAACTTGTTTGGTAGTGAATGAATTGTCGTGGAAGAATTTACAATTTTGGGTTGAAAAGAGATGGAAGACGTTTGTTGTTGTTGTTGTTGTTGTTTCACTTGATCAACAACTTGAGTTTGCATCGTTAAGGTCATGAGTAGAGAGAGAGAAAGAGATTGTGTGCAATGTGTGTGTGCGTCGTATGTGTGTAGTGATCGATAAACAAGAGAGTGAAGGTGCTTTTAATGCTTCCACTGCTTTTATGGCAATGGTCGAGGATGTGTCGTCATTAGTATAGAAGCATGGGGGTGCGAAAGGACCCAAAATAAGCGTGCGTCATGTCGGAGTAGAACCTAAATTAACAGCCTATGGTCTGGATTAAAAGGTGCAGTTTGTGAAAAAACACCCAGAGATTCGTACTTTGCACTGTCTAAAAAGGAACAGATTGTTTTGGACTTGCGACGGTTGAAGAAAGTCTTTTCAGGCTATAGTCTTTTGTACGAGATTATGACCAATGAGATAGCGTCGATTAAAAAGCTTCGATAAATGTATGCGGTACATCATCGTGTAGTACTCATTTTTAATATTCTGTTCACTTTTCATCAATAAATTAAGTAATCAAGGTATTATTTATTACTTACGTATCTTGTGAATCTACTCTCTGAACTGAAGTAATTTACCCATCTATTGCCAGTCAGCTGGTTCTCGTAAGTACGATCCAGACGGTGCGTCACAGTCCTGAAGGTGATGATGACACATGCGCCTTTGCTAGCACATGTATATGCTGAATCACAGGTTTTATTTCGCTGTACGATTCGAAAGGAATGGTGATGGCACACACGTGCTGGTGGTTTAGTACATGGAAAAAGCTTGATCTAGAGTGGCAGGAAGGCTGCACACGCGGACAGAAACAGCTTGCAAAGGTAGCAGATAGCGTACAAAAATCCACGTAAGCTACAACTTGCCAGCATTTATGGCAACACTGGCGATAGTCAAGCTAATGTGGTGCTGGTCAGATATTTAACTGGAGAGCATTGGGGGTCACTGGCTGATTGCGGAACTCTACAAAGCCTTGCATCGTCACGAGTATGTATATCGTATATGCGATTAGGCTGATGAAAGGTTCATTTGACTGGGATATGCTAATCTAGCGTATTGTGTTATCATGGCTATGGTACATTGTGATTGTAAAGTTGTGGGATTTGGCGCATCGATGCTGCAATCGACTGCAAGGAGAAGTTGATGGATTGGTGCGTATATGGACTGACACATTTATACTGCTATTGCTGATATCACTGCTTGCAATATAGGCAGATGTTTATATGCGTATGCGGCACTTATTGTCGGATGAGCGGGCGAATACATTGGATGAGAAGCAGAGACAGCGATACGGTACGGCACGATACGATAAGTAATGGCTACTTGAAGTGGAATTGCTATGTATACGATCTGATTGTTAGAAATGATGCTGTTTGAGGTGCTGACCATGTACGAGCACGAATTGGTGGCGAAATCATTGATTGCTAGCGATATTTTTGAATGTTCAAAGCATGATACAGTGACCATTTATGTAGCTTCGTGGCAGATGCAGCCACATATTAATCGGCAGCGTCTTGAAGAGCTAGAGATGATAATTCAGAATGATTATCATTATAATCAGATGCTTCGATGAATCACAATGTGTCAAATATTTGCATGCCTAAAATGAAACGTTTCTGATTCCAAGTCAGAAAGTCGTACTGAATGGGTACATTCTCATACAAACATGCCGTCAAAATCTGATTCGGTCTGTTACCACCCGAAGTGACACACCCGCCCTTTGATCTAGTATTTCCAACAGCTTTTTACTATTATTTCAGGTGAAGTGTCATCTCTACAATCTGCTGTCCTGCCTACCGTTTTTTCTTCCTTACATATATTAATCATCGCCTATAGAGGAAGAATAGAGCCTTGTATACACATCATGACCGACCATATCGACTCGAAACTCATGGCCTCATCACCATTAAACAAGCCCAGCGGCTCAAGCACGGCCAATTTTCGCATTGAAGAGATCCGCGGTACGTCAATAGTTGACGGTTTGATAGCATTCATAAAAGCGTTAAAACGTCTATATGGTAAAACCTACTTTACAGGGTATTTGTTTAAAAAGACACGCGAAGGCAGATGGCAGAAGCGCTGGTTTGAGACAAATGGTTGTTTTCTTACCTATTATAAGGTATTTATCTATTACATTGGTCGAAATAGTGTGAAATAATAGTCCATGAAGCTTAGGTGTATCATTTTTATATGTAGAAACAAGGTCAGAAGCTACTCGCAGCGTTAAATTTGCCACAAGTGGGCGCTATTATGCTGCTAGAGGAAGATCACGTTGGTAGGGATCATGGCTATTTGTTGGCTGGATAGCACGTTAATTGACTGATAAAAGGTGCTGGTGTTTTATATGTCTGTGGTATTAGATGGTCCTGGCCTTTTTACAATTGAATTGAATGAGCGCGTGTATACAATCAAAGCACGCTCCCATGATGAAGCCACGTTCTGGGTGGATGCATTGCTGTGGCGTCAAGCAGGTGGCTTAGTGACGCAAAAATCTCCGAACATGAGCAAGCAAAAATTCAATGATCAATTTGATAGTGTCCCGAGCTTAGCAGCTTCTCCCACGATGAGATCCGTGCATGTGGATACAGTTAATCAGCATGACGTGATAAGTGCAAACGTGGATAATATCGGCAAGGATGGAGCTCCGTGTGCGGCTTGTTGTATTATTCAATAAGACAGAGATGCAACATCGGACTCGACTGCTGACAGAAAGACGATCATTTATATCTCGGTGATACTTCTATTTCTGCCTCGCGTTGCCGGATATCCAAATACTGTTTTGTCGTCCAACTGGTGATGAATGCCCACATGTGCTCGAGAGCTTCTCATCGCACTGCTATTATATAAGCACAGCATCATTAGAAGCAGCTAATGCACAACAAGTACAATCTATTCTTGCTAACTTTGACATGTGCTGTGTAGATTCGCTGCGGCTGTCATTCTTTCGTTTTATATCATGCACTGACACCTACACGCCCAATTCACGCAAGTAGCTTGCTGGAGAAGGTTTGCGGCCAAGTATATCAACGAGAAGATCATTGGGATCTTTAGCACCACCATGTACCATCAGCTTTTGGTACAACATTTCGCCCGCTTTACGGTTCAATTGACTCTTGGGTCCAACAAAATTTGTATGCCAGATGTCAGCGGCAAATACGCGAGCATATAAATAGCTGTAGTAGCCAGCGCCGTAGCCGATCAAGTGTCCAAACCGCGTGTGCCAATAAGTTCCGTTTACGTGAGGCACTAATGTGCTTGAGTTCTGTAGCTCATGCAGCAATTGCGTGGTTGTATGAGGGCTACAGGGTAGAGGCTGCTCTTTGAACAATTGCAGGTCTAACATGGAGTACAAACATTGCGTCTGTGTGTCCATCGCGGCGAACATCTTCTTTGACGCACGCAGACCTTGCATCATGGCAGGAGGCAACGGAGCGCCTGTCTGATAATGGTGAGCAAACTTGCTGACAACGCGATAATCCCATGCGAAATACTCAAACAGATGCGACGGGGTCTCCACGAAGTCCAATGTTGCACGTGTGCCGGAAAGGTGCTGGAACTCAGTACAAGACAACAACGAATGCATCACGTGGCCAAATTCGTGAAATAGTGTCTCGACTTCAGAATGTGTCAGCAAAGATGGACTGTCAGGCGCGGGTTTGTTAAAATTGCAAACAAGAGCCACAATAGGTTTCTGGTACGACGTGTTGCTCAGACGCTTGCCACATCGAATGGTGAAGTGAGCTGCGTGGTTGTACTTGTTTGGTCGTGGATACAAGTCAAAGTACATGTATCCTAGCGTTTCACCATTCCGAATGAGTGCCAGCTTCACCACATCTTCATGCCAACACTCGCTCGCATTGAGCATCGATACTTGCTTTAGATCCAGACCAAACAGCTCTGAACAGACCAACTGCAGTCCTTTCAAACAGTTTTCAAGTGGAAAGTATGCTGATATCACGCGCGAATCAATTCGGTGCTTCTGGGCTTTCAGCATGCCCATGTAGTAAGGTAAGTCCCACATGTAGACTTGATCAACAGAACAACCTTCGTGTTTTCGCTTCGCATCTAGCAACAATTGCTGCTCTATTCTAGCCTGGAAGCACCAATTTAAAAAAAAGTCATTACATATACAAGGTCAAACGAAGCATGACTCAAAAAGAATTGACAAACCTTTGCCATGAGCTGACGAGCAATATCGCCAATAAATGTTTCCACAGCCTCCGGGGATCCAATCATACGGTCCCTGTAAGACATCAACGTACGCATATGTGTATCGTTATACACGATGCCACTTCAAACGCTCAACAGAGTTCTTACCTTGTTGCCAAATGGGCAAACGTAGGAAATCCTAAAAGTTGAGCTAGTTCATGCCGCTTTGCTCGCAACTCATCCAAAACTGGAAGATTGTCTTTCGCGCATGAGTTGGCAGCAATGTACATACTTCGACGAGCTTCAGAATCTCCAACCCACTTCAAAACTGTGTTCATGACGTGCATATCAGTCGGAACCCGCAACGTGTCACGGCTCATCCACTTGCGCTCACATAAAGACATGATACAATGCGGCAAACCACGAATGAGTTTAGCCGGCATCTCCACATAGTTTCTAGCACTGTGCATTGTAGACTGAAACTGCATGCCAAGTTCTGTAATTTCATTCTGCAATGAAACTACTCGCTGTCGGTCTGCACGAGACAGATGAATCCCATCGCGTTCGAATTCATTGCGTAGCAATATTCCCATCCTTTTTTGCTCCGGTGTGAAGCTTTCCATACCAACTTTGTCCTCAGTCACCATTTTTAGTGACCGATATAGTTCTACATCAGCATTTAAATTCTGGATAAAATTTGATAGATCCGTAAAGCATTCGCTCGCTGCCAGTCGAAACTTCCTGTTTATCATGCAATATATAATTGTTAATACATATGTACCTATCATATTAATATCAAAACTCCTACTCATTTGGATGGACATTACGGCAAAGCTCCGCTGCATCAATTACAGAACAAATTACATTGGAAATATCGTCTAAAGTACGCAACGTCTGCAATCCTGGAGATGATGCTGCTAACTGTATAGTAGCAATACAAATTTATTCATAGATTAATTATACAATATTATTATAATATGAAATGATTCATTATCTACCTCCTGTCGTAATTGATGACATTGCAATTTTACGGCTTGTGTAAGTCTTCTAAAATCGGACGGAGTGTGCAAATCAGGTAATTGAAACAGTCCTGGATTTACACATGACATTACACTCGTATTTGCAGCTACAGAGACAATTTCATGTCTTTCTTGTATCCCTATAACTGATAAAAGACGCACGTGGTGAGCGCGAGAGTACTTCCATGTGATAGAACGTAGCGGTAGCATCGAGTAATTGAATTCTAAATAGAAACGAAAAGATTTAGAAATAGGAAAATCCTATTATATAGCATATTATCTGTAGCAGGTATTGGAATATTGACAAATCATAACGTATATTGCCAGTATCTAGACGTAATCAGACGCTAGCTACTCTTGTTTCCATGTAATACTGACACGACACTTTCAAGCTTCTGAATAACAAAAATTGGATCAGCTTCATACACATAAATTCCAGTAGAGCTCGCAACAAGTAGCTCAGGTACACCATCGTGATTAACATCTCGCCAAAGAAGACTATACATAGCACCAAAAGTCTCCAAATCCCAATGGTTCCGGGATAATCGTTGCCATTTCCAACGTAAAGTTTCAGACGCTATAGAACCACCTGCGTCCTTTGTTGGAATCGTCTCTAAGTCGTCCCAAATATTGTGTGAGCTTCCATATGACATGGGTGACGCAGCTGATAGCTCATCAATGCTAGACTCGAGCGAATTTCTCGTCACCTCTCCATTAATACCCTGGTGTTGTTTGTCGTCATTACTTCGTTCCTTGTACGCCAGCATCACTTGACTGTCGGTTCCCAGTAGTAGTTCAATATGTCCATCCTACCACAGGCATATTGGAATAAGCACTTACTCGTTCATATACACAAAGACGTCGATAGCTTACCAGATCGATGTCAGCAATGATACCTGCGAAGATTGAGTCAAACGTATCAGACTCCAACAAAACCTCGCCATTCCCGATGTGGTCAAAAGTACCAAACAAATCTTCGTAAACCACCGCTTGGCCGATCGCACATGTTACTAATAGATTACAGCACCAAGTTAAGCTAGCTTCTTCTGATGCAGCAGCTTGTTTCAGGTATAGGGCAACAGAAGTTATAGGGCCATTCAACAGCAGATCTTTAGTCTTAAATGGACCACTAAGGCAATCTCCATGATTTTGTCCGTGGAATACGCGCACCAGTCTACGACAATACAGAATTTGCAATTAGTATGTTACGTTATATAGGCCAGCAGATGTCCGTCTTTAGATCAAATCTTCCAGAGCGTATTACCCGTCAGCACACCCAAATGCAATCCAGCTGTAGTCTTTCTCCAATGACGTTATAATGTCCACTGCCAAGATCGTGTGTGTAAACGTTGCAAATTCAGGAAAAAAGACAGCAAACTGTTCAATCTCCAGACGAGTGCAAACAGCACCAAATTCACTCTCGTGTTTTTCATTCTCAATGTATCCAATCGCCAGCATGGAGTCTGTACAGCATACCACAACGCCGTAGAAGACGTCTCCATTGGACCCCAAGGCACGTATATTAAACATACACGTTGGTGCTACCTGTAATTCAAACTTCTCACATTCAGAAGTGTCAATGGCTTGAGCGTGTTCCATAGATTCGTCTTGAGGAGCTAAAACCTGCAGGTACAGCGCTTCTCCAATCGCATATGCAACAACCACCTGCGACTGTTGTGTCCGTGGTCGCTCAATGACAGCACTAGCTATTACATTTGCTTTACCCGTAAGAAGAGTATCAATCTCAAGCTTGTGCATAGTGTAGCCATCGTTTCCGTAACGAAGAAGTGATACACATCGGTCTGTTGTGATAAGAGTGTGGCTTTATACCGAGCACACAACGTGAAATAGTTAGCAAGATATGCATCATACAGCAACAAGAAGAGCAGAGGAGGATCAAGTAGATATGAGGAGAAGAATTAGCAACCTGTGCGAAGATACAGAGCTGAGAGTGTTTAGACTGGGAGCACCGCTTGGATACGCAAAGAAACGTTTCTGGTGGAAGAGCATGTTATATTTGTAACCAAGTATTAAACAAAAAACGATTGCGTTACTTTACTCTTCCTGCTGCTATTACGGAGATGTAAGTGCCATTGATTTTACACTTGATTTAAGTATTGACATTTAGATGAAAAACCATGTCGTTACATGTTTTTTTGTGTCATCAGCGTTGTACAACGTCGACTATTGAAGCCTATCACATACTTTGCATAAGCCCCATATTTCGCTGCAAAGACGTCAGTGATTGCTTCCTGCTGGTGTATTTGAAATTATCTCAATATGCTTACGACGCCAATGAGGTATAGAGCGCACCTACAGGCTAAATGACTAATCTCGAAAAAATGCTTTTACGAATACTGCAATCACGAAGACACACAGCTTGTTCGTTCCCTAGCATCAATAAGCTCAATGCTCTTTTCAATTTAAAATGCAACGGTAATTCTTCATAAGTGTACAATTATTCATTTATTTCACTCACTAGTGCCTGACCCTTCTTGCCGGGAAGAACTCGATACAGCTAATCGCTTGTCTCACCTTGCCTTGCCCCGACGTAGCAAAATTACCACGCAGTCTTTGCTACCGAGTTTCCGGGCCGTTGGTTGCCTTGCCTACTCGAATACCGATATATATAGATGAATATATACGTCTCTTTGCGCCCCCTGACTTCCTTGACTTGTCATTAACGCTGTCAAGTTCCGCGGCCGATCCCTTTGTCTTAGAAGCCTCAAAGCTCAAAAGATCAAAAGACTTAACCACTCAATCGTAATTAAGCATATCCTCAGTAAACAGCGAAAGAGGACGCCCAGAGTCGTTCAGCAGGTAGTCCATGCCATACAACTCAGTCCACTCCATCAAAGACATTTCTCGTGTGCGTTGGCTCTGGGCCTTGGGCATAGAGTCCAGCGTTCCATTAGGCTGAGGCTGACGAGGTTGCGGGGATGGTGCTGGCATGTGCTCCATTAGCGGCACGTAGGCCTCCTGCATGGCATTAACAGGCGAAGAGGCCGACATCCTAGGCACAGCCACTGGAGCTTCGTTAACCTTCATGCGCTTCGGGGCACGCGGCAAAGGCATTGGAGTCTGCTTATCCTGAAGTAAAGTCTTGACAAGTCCAGTAAGATCCGAGAGTTGTCCCATGAGTTCCGACACTTGACCTTGCAGGCTCTGCACGGACTGTTTCAGTGTTTCAACTTCTTCGTGGTCAGGAGAGGCAGGCTCCGAGTACGTCTTACGACGAATCTGAGCCATAAGCTCCTGGCGCCCACGCATAAATTTTTCATGGTAAAATTCCCACCAATTCTTGCTCTCGTCTAGCTCGGTAGATATCACAATCTCGTCCTTCTTGTGTTTGCGAAAACCATAAAAGTTTAGTTGACGTACAAAGCTGCTAAAGTTGTTATGCTTAAAATAGCGTGGTAGCATTGTCTTTGCAAACTCGCGTGGTAGTTTAATTATAAACGAAGTACCGGTGTCGCTCCAACACGCGACACTATGTGGCGAGCTCTCAATCATGTCATATGTCTTTTGTAAAAACACAGGCGCAGCTGAGCCCCCACCATGATTGTCTAGACTCGAAGAAACCGATCGTTTACGCATTTTGTTATCACCCATTTTGATTTAACTTTGAATTTGTATTCAATTTTCCTTCTTTTTTTCTCGCTCAATTGCGACTGAGACTTACAGCGAAAAAACGGAAATGAGCTTGACAGAAAGTGGGAGTGGGTGATCGTGCGACCGAGGATAGGTCTAAGCACCACACATTGGCTAATCGATATCCACAGATTGGATGGTTCGATTGGGCACGCTAGTTTTCCACTATATAACGGCTACTTAGCGAAGGTCGGCCGGCGGGGGGGGACATAGAAACGGACCAGGCGCGGCCGACTGTTTTCAAGGTAGGACTACTCCAACCATAATAATGGAGCCAGTTAACGGCAAGATTGCTGCTGCTCCAACCAGCAGCTTTAAAATCAAAGATAGCCAGCCGCTCAGAATGCTACATCGTAGGAATGTCACCATGCGGCTGTCCTTCTCAAATTTTTGTTTATCAAGAAAGAAACGACGTCGACACGACGCTTTGAGCCAGCAAAGGTACTACATGTACAGACGACGAGCATTGCAATCTACCTCTTTTGTCTAGATTGATTCAGCTATCTTGAATTAAAACGGTTTGCAAGCAATCTTTTTACATTACGTTATGGATTCTTCAGTACCAGAGCTTTGCCGGACTTACCTGAAACATTCGTGCAGAAACCAGCGGAATGGACGTATTGCAGCACTCCTTTACAAAAGCATTAAGTCAATGGTCATTAATAGCATATATTTGCACACATGTACGCGGTAAAAAGACAAATATTAGAATGATCTACTGACTAAAAGAGTGTGCTAGGAAAATTGCATTTCTGACTTTCCAACATATACAGCTTCAGTGAGGTTGCCGCTTCTTTGCGCTGCACCTCCCGCAGCTGCGGATCCTATAACAGCTGTCGTCCGAGAACGGAACAAGGGGTCCGCCAAAGGTTCTTGCATATTCTATTTGTAGAAGATTCTTAAAGTTCCAATACATCGAATAAATTACTACTTTATTTTGTCAATACATCAATGATTTAGCAAATTTAACCATCTTGGTCGGACTCCTCTATGACATGTCGCGAAATACGCATAGACGCTGGCTACTGACATGTATTACAGTAAGTTGACAAAGTATACATACATGCGAGGACGTATTGGATAGACGAAATGCAAAGCTTTTTTTGGCCAGCCTGCTCTCTCTGTTCCGATCAATTATCGGGTTGTTGCAGCTTGCTGATAATCCAGTCGTGTGCTTTGCAATCTCAGCACTTGGACCATCAGTATGTTTCTTCTTTGTTAAAAGCTTCATCACATATTAGCAAAACATGTTGTAAGCACTAGCAAACTTTGCGATTTATCTGGTTTTGCGAAGAAAAATGAATTTTTCACAAAGCCAACGCGTAATGCAGGGCGTCCGTAGCTTCGTCATAATAATTACACCTTATCTTGTGGTGAAGTCTTTCTTTATATGGCCGGCCACCAACACCGAAGAACCAATCATGCTTTACGTAAACGTTCAGAATGAACCCTATATAGAAAAGACATGTAACATTTTTACGGGAATAGATAAATATGGTAACCCTTGAATTGTTTTCATTTGCTCGTACAAGGGATTTCTTGCCTAGCTAAACACTGCAAAGGCCCGCATACATGGTAGTTACTTGCATCTAATCGACTTATTCGCCCCGTGCTTTTTTTCGATTTTACTCCCGCTATTACAAAATCAAATCTTCACATCATACTTAGACCATCACTGGCAGATGTGTCATGCCAAATGCTTCTTCTGTAAGTTGACAAAGTATCCAGGCGCAAGTTATCAATTTGTTTTAGGGAACGAATGAGAGTGCCCTATATGTATTAAGCGGACCGAGCGTGACCAATATCCTAGATAGTAGCATAATCTAATAATATTGTGTTTTGCTTCGTTCAAACAGCTCGTTGAAACATCAGCTAAATTTCATTTGAAAAGTCGGTAGACAGCACGTCAAGGTTACGAAAATAAGTTCTTAAATAAAACTTTCTTCTTCTTGCCCGAAACTTTCTTCACCATTGAGACGGAGCCTGACGTGTCTTGAGGCACCAAAGTAGTAGCATCAAGTGCAGCCACACTGTTGCCAGCATTTCGCACCATCCTCCGCTTCTTGTCAGTCTGCAGGTACAACAGCAGACAGAAATACTTTTTGTGTCAGCATCTACAAGATATACAATAAAACCTCTTCCCAACCACAACACCACTGCAAGGTATACAAACTTACCAGTGCATCAACGTGTGAAAAAATGCCACCAGTCTTACCGCCAACCTTTTTTGGTTCGTGTGGCGTTGTGATACGATGTTTGGTTTTGTCCAAAGACAAAATATCTTGAACTGAGGCAAAATTGTCGATTGAGCCAACATTATCGGTGCGATTTGCCTCCATCTCTCGCTGTCGCTTGCGGATCTTGTCCTTGCGTGACGTGACTACACGCACAAAGCGTGATTCCTCAAAATCCTTCTTCTCAGCTTCCTCACGCGCAGTTTCCTTGTCTGCAATGTGGGTGCCGCTAGCCAATATCTCTGCTGGACGCTCGCTAAATTCCTCACGCAACTCCGCCAATATAGTGCTTTTCTGCAAACGTTTGCGGTTACGTTCGTCCAGCTTAGCCTGCTTAATCTGCGCACGCTCCTCCTCCTCGTACGGCACAGCTGCCAAGCGCGGCGCACGGTAGATACCATCCTTTACACTAGAGCTACCCTCATCTCCTTCCTCGTTGTCATTAGGTCCGCCCGCGGCAGCTAGCTGGCCTGGGTTGGGCGCGTAGCTCAACGACTCATCCAATTCCTTGCCATCGGAAAGCGCTACCTTGAGCATTTTGTCTACTTGGTATTTCATCTTACGGTCCAGTGGACGAATGCGCTCCAGCAACGTGCGGTAACGAACGAGCTCCTTGAAAACAGGGTGGCCCTTCACCTTCACCGGCTCCTCAAGCTACAGTACCACAACAACTATGACATAATCACATCTCTTTACAGCAACACAGACGAAAGTTATACCTTAAGCAGCGTAAAAAAGAGCTCCATCTTGGTGTACATTAGTAGTGCGTGATTCTTCACCTGCAGGTACGAAATGCCAGATTCTGTGGGCAGCTCAGCCTGTACGCACCACACAAAATCAATCACCCATCGGCACTATAGAAAGTGTAATGATTACTGTAAATACACAGAATATATATTAGTCAACACACCGCGACCGTACTGTCCATCTCTGCCACTTTTCCACGAACATGGCCAACCTCGACCCACAACCTCTCCAACGGATGCTTTTCTGGTTTGTTATGTTACCAAAATATACAAATTTGCACAGAAAGTCGTCTCTAAGACCTCAGTAGACAGAAAATAATATTCATTCAATTATATCGAGCAACAAGGCTCACATAGAGAGCAAAGAACGCACCTCCAGCGATGTTCATAATGATTCTGACGTTTCGTCTAAAATGTTTTTGACCATTGATTAATGTAGAATATTTAACCAATCACATTCTCGTTGGGCGACAAGCGAATCAAATCTGAGTCAGCAAATCGGTGCGACATGATGAGATGCATAATTCATTAGATCCTTGGGTCGATTCATCAGATGCCATATTGATGTACAGCAGTGACTGATAAATATTAAAAAGTGGAGTATTTTTTTTTTTTTTTGGTAATACTACTTGCTTTACTGTATAATTAAACTTATCATGTTTTCATGTGGCCCTTGTGTAACTGAGTGGCCCAGGTGAGCCCTCACACGAGGGAACGCCGTGCCCTCGGTAGTCCAACTAAACCTAACAGAGTGTCTGCAGCTGTTGGTCCTTGCTCATTAGCGGTCACCAGCCTGGTACATCGACGCGCAGCTCGTCCTCCGGCTCCCAAAAGTCGAAAATGTTTCGGCTCTCCATTGGACGTGGATTTGAAGCTTTTGGTTTGTCCAGCGGTGGCCCAACATCAATCCAACAAGAAAGCCTTCATTACCACCTGAATCCACCAACGCAGATAAAGCCCGATAGGTTTGGCAATCCTTCCTGCCTACTCACCGCTGCATATCCTAAGTTCGTTCAGACGCAGGCCCAGAGCTCTGCTGTCGCCAAACGGATTGTAAATGTCGAGAGTCTAGTCTCACGACTGACCTTGGCGTTGCATGATATTTTCACGAAGGATTTTCAGGGTTACAACCGGCTGAAACGTCGTGTCGATACGTTGGAGCGGATGGTGACGAGAGACTCGCATAAACGCGCAGTCCACCTCGACATCCAAGTCTTTGCCAAGCGGACGACGTTCGACGTCTGGAAGCTGGATTATCCTTCTTCTCCATCTCCCGCGGCACAACATCAGACTCACGGCTAGCGTTACCATCGCTGTAGCCGAGCTACTTAACCAAGCTACTTATGCACTATGTGCAGCGGAAGACAAGCTCCAAGAGCTTCTACGTCTTAGGGTTGATAACCCTCCCAAGGTAAGCTTGCAAAATTATGCCTTTTGTTTGTAAACAACCGTGTCTCCAAAAGACTTAGTATCAATGATACAATTTCTTAAAAGGAATAGAACGCTCAAGCACTTAAGCTTTTCAGAGCAGGTTTGAAACTGATTTATATTTATGTTTATCTTCTAGCACTAAATATAGAAGCACCTACTCTATACTTAGTGCTAGTCATTATTTACTGGCTCTTTAGCCTATTAGTATTATGCAAACATGCATAGTCACCATACTTTAAATAAGTAACGTGGCCCTCTGCCACGATGCGACCCTTCGTACTTCAGGTACGGTCACATCACCTTTTGTACCCAAGGTGCAGCCACATCACATTGGTGTGGCAGGTGTGTATGTACAATACACACCTTCGTGTAACCCCGTTGCACCCCCCCACCACCAATCCGTGGGATCCGACGTACCGACGAACTTAATTGAAGGCATCGATTTCATTTTCTTCTCATTTTGCTTGCCTCGCAATTAGTGCTTGCACTTGCGTCTAAAGCTTCTGAATTTTTGGCACTTGCTCCTTGAGCCTCCGTGCCTTGCACACACGCTTTCTAAGCATCCTTGTGTTACGACACTCGCTCTTTGAGCATACAGTGCATCGCACTCACGCTAAAGCATTAAGTGTTACGACACTTGCTTGTAAGCGTTGAGTGCCAAGCACTTGGTACTAATCCCCTTTGTGTGTTTACAAACACTTTCTTTCACAGCACTAAGTACCTAGCACTTGCCTTAAAGCATTACAGTGTTCACAACACTTGCTTTACAAAGCACTTGTCTCGATAGCGCTTGCTCCATCATGGATGATGCAATGCGTCGCGACATCTTTGGGGACGATGAAAGTGACGTTTCCTCTACGGGTGGCGGAGCCGAGTCTCCTTCAGGTCATAGTACCCCAAGATTATCACGCTCACCGAGCGATGGACGTCGATCCCATTCTGTGTCTTCCTCTCCCCCCTTCCCCCCCCCCCCCTCTTCCCCTCTTGACGCTGCACAGCGTCGTCAACTCGATGAAGAGGCCCGAGCGGCCGCCTTAGCACGGCCCAAACAAACATTTTCGCGACGTGATTATGGGTTCGTGCCCCGGGACCCTAATGAGGAAGCTCGACGAGCTGCATCGCAATCTTTGCGAACCTATGTCATTGGGTCCCATGCTCGTACGGCCTGCGAGAATGCAGATAGTGTTGCTCTTCGTAAGCGTCTCCTTACTCCCCAGGAGTTTTCGATGAAATCGTATCAGGAGCGACTGTCACGACAGTCACGTGGGGTGCCCGTGCACCCACTAAACGGCATACAGGGTGCTTGCACCAGGTGAAAAATCTGCACAAGATGTTCACCAGTTCACCCGCTGGGTAGAACGATCATGTAAGCTCTCAAGTTTGTCAAACTTGCGTTTAAGCGCTAAAGCGCAAGACATTTGGTTAGAACGTCGTCTACGTTTTAACTTTGCTAAGCTCAAAGCGAAACGTCAGCTACCTTCCACATACAGGTCAAAGACTTGTGGGGAGCAAGATTCTAAAGCTGTTGCCCGTACCTCTCACTTGAGTGATGTACCGGCGTTGGCTTCTTCTGAAGGTCAGAGGCGAAGCCATTTTACTGACGCTACTTCCACAGCACCTAGTGCTAGGAAGCGTCCGACGACAGCTGTCGTCGCTTCTGACCGTCCTGGTCAAAAGCGTCAACGGCGTCAGGGCAATCCTGCCGGAGGGGTACCTCATACTCCCAGGAGTCATACGACTGGGGGTAACCCCTCCGCTTCACCAAGTATTGGGTATGACCCAGGTGACGACGCCGAGCCAAGAGGCGTTCCACGTGGAACTGTTGAAGACCCTGGTCATCAATCAACGTCAGAGGAGGTCGATGACCCATTGACCTCTCATCTCTCTGAGATAGAGCGTCGCCTGACACTCCTGGAGCGTGATGCCCTTGCATCGGTGAGGTCTCACCTGTCATCGCTCGATGACCGTGTCGATCGACACCGTCGGTCTTTTAAGCGTTATCGCTCTGAGACCTCGGATCGATTAACGGCAGATTGAGCGCTCTCAAGCTGAACTGCGATGTCAGATCGACCTTCTGGTACGCATTCAGCGTTCATATGCACCTCCGGTGCCGTACTACCCGCCTCCTTTCGGCCGGGGGTATAGGGACAACCCCTCGAAGTCCACCGAGGCAGGGTTGAGATATGGATTTAGCAAGCCCACGTAGAACACAGGATGTGTTCGCATCTTCTTCGGGAGGTTGAAGCGTAAAGGCTAAGCCTTTCTTGCTTATGACCTTAAATGTTCCAATAAAACGTGGTCGCAGATTGAGTTTTATATACTGCCGAAACGGCACAAGTAGGTAAATTCCTAGCGCTTAATAAAACCAAGTCTCCCACTTCGTACTCGTGTTCGTTCTTTCTGCCTTTGGCATCCGCGTGTTCCTTCTGAACATCCTGGCTTTCAGCCATAGCGTCTTTGACGCGACGTAATACGTCAAAACGCGTTGACAGAAACGCTTCCACCTTCTTGCGCATCGCAACAGGGCTGATATCAGCCAAGCCTTCGGCTTTCTCCCCCCCCCCCTGATGTGGCAGGGAGTAGCGTTAAAGGAGCGCGAGGGTTGACCAAACCATTCACATAGAATGGGGTGAAGCCTGTCAAGGTATTCACCGCGTTGTTCAACGCAAACTCTATCAGAGGGAGCATCGTGCTCCATTGCTTGAGTGTCTTAGCACAAACACTGCAAAGCATATCGCCAATAACGCGGTTGACGCGTTCAGTCTGACCATCGGTCTGCGGATTATCCGCCGTGGACATGTCCAGTCGAGTGCCCAGCACTTTAAAGACGGACGTCCAAAACTTACCCGTAAAACGGGGGTCTCTATCAGAGACGATTGCCACACAAGTCAATCCGTGTTGTCGAAACACACGATCCATGAACAGCTTATCTGTTACTTCTCCATCAATGAAGCCTGGCACTGCCGCTAAATGAGCCATCTTACTCAATCGGTCAACATAGACCACAATGCCAGTGTTTCCTGCCGCATCACGCGGTAGGCCAAAAACAAAGTCCATACTGATGGACTGCCACAACCCCGAGGGTAGCAGGCAAATTCGCCAAAGGCGCAGCCATACTAGGCGAGGGCTTCACCTTTGACACGTTTCACACGTGCGTACATATGTACTAACCCATTATATACAACTTGGGACACCAATAATGGGTGCTCACCGAGCTGTAGGCCTTCTCACGACCTAAATGACCACCAAGTGGTGTATCATGAGCCTCATAAAGTATATGATACTTGAGGTCCTCATCATGAGGCACCAGAACACGAGACTGGTCATCCGACCCTGTACTATAGTACAACAGACCATCGGTCAGTGCATAGCGATGTAATCTAACACGATTACGTGTTGGGAGCTTCACCTTAGAGTTCTCAAACTCTGCGCTACCCAGCGCGTGCAAAATGGCAACACATGCCTCATCGCGTGCATACGCCACACGGATACGATCCGTTACGGACGAACTCACAACAGTGAGATTAGCAAGCTCATAGTCAGGTCTACGCGATAACGCGTCAGCCAAAACATTCTGTTTTCCCGGCTTATACTTCACCTCAAAGTTATACTCCGCGAAAAACACACAAGAGCAAACCCATTCCCCTTTTTTAGGAGAGCCTACGAGCCATTCTTGCGAGAGATAAGGCGACTGTGTCGCTGTGCGTAATGACACATGATCGGTATGGATCACAAACGGCTTTGAGCCCAACAGGTGTACCCTGAACTTAACAAGGGCATACTTCATCGCAAGTAGCTACTTGTCATGAACTGGATTAGTTCTTCTCTGCAGCTTTCAGTTGGCGAGACTCAAACGCGATGGACGCGTTCTCAACCCTCAGGGTCAACTTGGAAGAGAGCACTGCCAATGGCAAAGTCCGAAGCATCACACACGACGCTAAAAGGACGATCAGGATCAGGCAGAGCCAGATTGGCGCCTGAAGGAGACTCTCCTTAATGGCTTCAAAAGCCTCGTGGTGCTCGGTGTTCCAACACCATTCTACATCCTTTTTAAGGAGATTCGACAATGGCCTAGCCACTTCCACATAGTTGTGGCTATACTTGTGCAAGTAATTTGCCAAAACCCAACCACTTGCGGAGGTCCTTCTGGTTCCTTGAAACCAAACAAACCTCTATGGGTTTGACCTTAACAGGGTCTGCCCGGATTCCTCGCTTCCCAATGAAGCATCCCAAAAAGGGAATCTCTTCCGCACCAAAGATGCATTTGTCAATATTGGCATATAACTTATGCATCTGCATGCAACCGAGCACAGCTCGCAGGTGCTCGATGTGATTCTCCACATCAGTCTTTCCTCTTTTCCGCTCGACTATGGACGAATATATCGTCAAAGTATGTCTGTGCATACGCCCTATGGGGCCGAAACAACTGCGTCACTAGACGATTGAACGTTGCAGGTGCGTTAGACAGCCCTTGAGGGCATCACTAACCACTCCCAGAGCATACCGCTCGGAGTGCTGACCGCTGTCAGCGGGATATCACTAGCTCGCATGAGCAGTTGGTAGTATCCATCGACTAAGCCGAGGGCACTGTACATCGTACATCCCACCATATTGTTCTGAAGAACATCCTTGCGAGGAATCGGTGTTTGAGCCGAGATAGTGGCTGCATTCAGCTTATTGTAAGCATGCACTATTCGCCACTTCCCATTAGGCTTCTTCACACAAAACGTGGGCGTAGAGTGAGGAGACTTACTCTCACGCACCATGCCAGCCGCGTGCTTTGCACGAAAGAACTCGTCAATGACGTCACATTGTTCTCGTAGCAGCGGCCACTGTCGCGTCACACAATACTTGGTTCCTGGAACCAAGTC